AACTTGCATCCATATATGTTATTACATTTTCTGTGAAATCTCATTCATTTTTAAAAAATTTACGTATTGGACAGTCAGAGTTACAAAGACAGAGAGGAGAGGTAGGAGATTCCATTCACCAATTCATTCTCCAGACAGTCACACGGCCGACACTGGGCCAGGCCCCTCCAGGCTGAGGCCACGGCTCAGGAGCTCCTTCTGCGTCATCCCCACGGGCACGAGGCTCCAAGCACTTGGACCATGCTCTGCTGCTTTCCCAGGCCACAAGCAGGAGGCTGCATCGGAAGTGGAGCAGCTGAGACTTGATCTGACACCCAGCACTGCGGGCAGCTTCTCAACCCACTATGTCTCGATGTTGGCCCCTGTCTCATCCATTTCAAAAAGAAGGGTATTTGCATATAATTTTATTCAAATGAGGGAAATGTTTACCGTGCAGTTTTTATTACCTTCCATTGTAACTCCTGATGTTTGGCAATTTGGGACAGAATAACATAGTCAGGAAATAGTATACAATGTTGTTTGCGATGTGTTACTCTCCACCAATTTCTTCAATATTATTTCTTCAGATTATTTTCCACGCAGAAATTTTTCTTACTTGTCGAAACTCTTTTTGGTGCTATGTGTTAGACTGACACTTGGCAATGCTGACGACCAAATGAATATTGGTTGGAGTCCCAGCTGCTCGGCTTCCAGTCCGGCTCCCTGCTAATGTACCTGGCAAACCAACACAAGATGGCCCAAGTCTTTGGGCCCCTGACACCCACGTGGGAAACCAGAATGGAGTTTCCTGGATCTGGCCTGGCCCAGCATCGATGATAGTGCCATTTGGGAATGAGAGGTCTTTGTGGGCTCCCTCACTCTGTGACTCTGCCTTTCGCAGTGCCAGCACTGTGGCATAACAGGCTAAGTGTTTGCCTGCGGCACCAACGTTCTGCTGTCACCGCTCAAGTCCTAGCAGTCCCCCCTTTGCGAATGCCTGGGAAGGTAGCAGGAAGGGCCCAAGTTCCTTGGTTTCTGAAACGGTGGAGGAAAGTTTGCTCTCTCTCTTTTTGTCTCTTATTCTCTGTAACTCTGCCATACGAATAAAAATACATCTTTTTTTAAAAAAAATTAAAAATTGGGACCTAGCACAATAGCTTAGTGGCTAAATTCTCACCTTTCATGGTCCGGGATTCCATATGGGTGCCAGTTTGTATCCTGAGTGCTCCACTTCCCATCCAGCTCCCTGCGTGGGGACTGGGAAAGCACTGCAGGGCGGCCCAAAGCCTTGGGACCCTGCTCCCGCGTGGGAGACCCGGAAGAGGCTCCTGGCTACTGGCTTTGGACTGTCTCAGCTCTGGCCATTGTGGCCAGTTTGGGAGTGAACCATTGGACAGATCTTCCTCTCTGCCTCTTCTTCTTTCTGTATATCTGATTTCTCAATACAAAGAAATAAATCTTTTTTTAAAAAAATTAAAAATTGATAAATCTCCCACATCCGTCATTTATTACTTTTCAGGGAGAAGGGAGAAGGTGAACCTCACACAAATTTCTGAGATCTTCTTGAATGAACTCTCTGCACATTACTGCATGGATTTAATAATATATTCCCCAAAGCTGCACAGCACGGATATAAGTTCAGATAAACGCACAGAAGAAATAAAAAAGGAGAGAAGAAAGAACAGAGAAAAAGAAGTGCAGACTCAAGGCTGAGGAAAAAACTGGAACTTTACTCAACCTGATTAGACCAATTGAAAAACAACACAAAACCACTCTCGGTTATTTAAAAAAAAACAACAAGGTGAAGGTTAGAGGTAGATTGGGGCTGCATCTGCGAACAGGAAGCCCTGGGCTCCTCAGCAGCTATTTATATAAACATTTGCTTTTTCCGTCTTGGGTTCTGCCCAGAAGTCTCCGTCTGACTGCTGCTTCTGGCTCTGCTTGACTGGTTTGTAAAGAGAAAAGAAAGGAAGAAAACAAGTGTGGCCACCTGTTCCTCTCCGCATGACCACAGAGGACTCAACTTTCCCTACTGCTGCGTGAGGATGCTAAAGACACCGGGACCTGGGGCTTCACCAGCCAAGGCCTCCCGAGGCTGCTCCCCTGCTGTGCTCCCAAGCAGACATCTCAGGACTTTCTTAATCCCCTTTGGGGTCTAAATTCGAGAAGCCTCTTCAGCAAGTGGCTGGGCTCTGCTGGGCTTGTGTGAACCTGTGTCTCTGGCAGCCTCATTATCCGCTTGCCTGGTGTTTTTCTGCTGTTTCTCATATTGTTTTTAAGATTAATTTTCTTTTTATTGGAAAGGCAGATTTACATAGAGCTGGAGAGACAGAGAGAAAGATTCTCCATCTGCTGGTTCATTCCCCAAAATGACCACAATGGCTGGAGCTGAGCCATTCCAAAGCTAGGAGAAAGGAGCCTCTTCCAAGTCTCCTACATGGGTGCTGGGTCCCAAGGCTTTAGTCTATGCTCCACTGCTTTCCCAGGCCCCAAGCAGGGAGCTGGATGGGAAGGGGAGCAAACAGGGCATGAACCAGTGCCCAAATGGGATGCTAGCACTTCTAGAAAGAGGATTAGCAAATTAAGCCATCACGCCAGCCCCTCCTTCCCCGATTTCTTTCTTTTGTCACTTTGCTGCAGCTGCTTCAGTACCAAAAGAACAGCTACCTTAAGAGATGGCAAATTGCTGGTGCCTTCGGACCAGGTGTAAAATATTTGGCTAAACATTCAACATGGACCACAAAGAAGCTGGGAGGAGCTGGTGGCTGCCCATGCTGACTGCTTGATGTCATCAGAAGCAAGGCCCAGGAGGGGGCTGACCGGCTGTGCTTTGAAGCCACCACCTGTGAGTCAAAGGAAAACCAAAAGAAAGTGTGTGAGATGATTTCCTGAGTACCGTGCACGGTTGAATTTCCAGAATGCATTCCCTTCACAGGGGAAAGGAGAGTTTTCTTAGATTATAAGGAAACGTTAGGTTCAAAGTCAGACCGCCCAGGCTGGGGAGGGAAAATACAAGTAAGCTTTGTGTTGACCCAAGGAGGCTGCTGGGTGTCCAAGCATCCAGGAAGACACTCCTTTCATGATATGCTACCAAAGCCTTTAATTTCCATATTTCAAATAATCTATAGTTGACTTGAATAATTGCATCACATTAAAATATAGATTTCAGGCCTGTCGTGGTGGCCTAGCAGCCAAAGTCTTCACTTTGCACATGCCAGGATCCCACATGGGTGCCAGTTCATGTTCCAGCTGCTCCACTTCCCATCCAGCACCCTGCTTGTGGCCTGGGAAAGCAGTCGAGGACAGCCCAAAGCCTTGGGACCCTGCACCCACGTGGGAGACCCGGAGAAAGTTCCTGGATCCTGGCTTCAGCTCCTCTGCAGCCGTTGGAGCCACTTGGGGAGTGAATCATCGGACGGGAGATCTTCCTCTCTGTCTCTCCTCTCTGTATATCTGACTTTGCAATAAAAATAAATAAATCTTTAAAAACAAAAAAGGAAGCAAGTTAGAAATGTTGAGCTACATAGTAAGAAGAGTTGGAAAGAATGTAAAATGTTTTTGTGTGTGTGTGTGTAAAAACAAAAGTTATTTATTTGAAAGAAAGAGAATGAATGTCCCATTTGCTAATGGGCGTAACATCCAGGGCCGGGCCGAGTAGAGCCGGAAGCCAGCAGCTTGGTCTGGGCCTCCCTGCAGGTGGAGGTACCCAAGTACTCGAGCGTGACAGGATGTCCCTCAGGAAGTTCTTCAGCTGGAACTGGGACAGAGATGAAATTCAAGGCCAGGTACCCCAACATGGGATCTGATCATCCCACATGGTGTCTAAACAACTAGGCTTGAATACCCACTCTGAGAACACTTTGGAATGAAAAATGTTGAAACAGGAATTTGGGAGATGACCTATGCCACGGTGGATTAGAATTGGGGTCCCAGCATCCCATATTAGAGTGTCTGGGATCAAGTTTCAATTCCATTTCTTTTTTTTTTTTCTTTTTATTTTTTTAAGATTTATTTATTATTAGAAAGGCAGATTTATGGAAAGGACAGAAAAAAATTTTCATTTGCTGGTTCATTCTCCAAACGTGTGCAATGGCTAGCTAAGCTAGTCCAAAGCCAGGAACCAGGAACTTCTCCCAGTTCTCCCATGTAGGTGCGCAGGGTCCCAAGACTTGAGAGCATCCTCCACTGCTTTCACAGGTCATCAGCACGCACATGGGATGCTGGGGCTTGCAGTGGTAGGATTAACTAATTGAGCCATTGTGCCAGCTTCAGTACTTGGGACCATGCCATCTTTGTGGGAGACCTGGGTAGAACTCTGGGCTCTTGGCTTTGGTCTGGCCAAACCCTTGTTGTTGCTGACGTTCGGAAACTGAACCAGCAGATGGAAATTCTCATCTCTATCATTCTTCTGGATGAATAAACATAAAAAGAGAGAAATTTGATCATTCAAAAGAGAAGTGAGAATCATGTGAAAGTTCACCAGGACTGTTGGACCTGAAAGGGGCAGGAGACGGGAACCGCGAGTGAAGGAGAGTAAACAAACCCGCAGTGTGGGAAGAGCAGAGGAGAAAACATGTGACCAACACTGGTACTCAATGCTTAAAGTGGAATTATAAAAGAGCACAAATTAAGAACTTCCTTGTAGGGCCCGGTGGCGTGGCCTAGCGGCTAAAGTCCTCGCCTCGAATGTGCTGGACCCCATATGGGCGCCGGTTCTGATCCTGGCAGCTCCACTTCCCATCCAGCTCCCTGCTTCTGGCCTGGGAAAGCAGTCGAGGACGGCCCAAAGCTTTGGGACACTGCACCAGTGTGGGAGACCTGGGGGGTGGGTTCCTGGCTCCTGGCTTCGGATCGGTGCAACACCGGCTATTGTGCTCACTTGGGGAGTGAATCACCAGATGGAAGATCTTCCTCTCTGTCTCTGCTCCTCTCTGTATAGCTGACTTTGTAATGAAAATAAATCTTAAAAAAAAAAAAAAAAAAAACTTCCTTGTAAACACATAAAAGGACAAAAGAAGTAACTGGATGGAAACCACTTTATTTAGAGAAGGAAGTTGGAAATTTTTATCTTGAAATATTTAATTTCCAATCCACACACTCATGGGATTCAGCGTGTTGCCTGTTTGCAATGACACATCACGTTCCATGTGCAGTAGGAAGGTCAGGTTCATGACTTACGAACTGAAATTCTGTGCCTATGAGGTTTCCCCACAGCGGTTACAATCTACATTGAGTACATCTATGCGTGAATACATATAATTCTAGAAACAGCAGGGAGTGCTGAGGACTTCCTCTCAGACTTTTCGTAGCCTGTCTCTTTAATCAGTTATGTAAATCCTATGAGACTGACCTGTTACTTAACAGTAGGAATCCAACACATATTTAGCTAGTTTTCTCAGCAAGATGGAATAGAGCCAGTTCCCACTCTCAGCCGTGTCTTGCCCCTTAATTTCGATTGAATTCCCCTGATATTTTGTAGGAAGTTGTCGAGTTATTCTGAGGAAAGGGTTGTAATTTGTCACTGTGCTAGGATTTTGTTCCATTGCATTGTGGACTGCGTTGTCATCTAGTCTGTTTGAATTAGACTGCAATTAAGCATCAAGAAATATGACTAATGCATTTAAATCCAGAGAATCTTAGAATTAAAAACAACTTAAACATAAATGTAACCTTTTCATTTCATTTAAATGAGACAAGTTAGAGCAGCACCCAATGAGGGGACATGACGCATCCAGAGCTGCCAGCTTCCTCCTGGGGCCAGGACACCTGAATATGCCATTTTCTGCTACTATTAGGTAAGCTTTCTATCTGCCTGTTAAAATTTAGGTCCCAAATGAGAATATTCCAGAAATCATTCGCACAAATATCTCTATTTGCATCCTTGGTAAGTGGTCAAAGTGAGCAAATTGGAGCAATTCGAGGACACGCTGACCAAGGGTGTGGTTTCATAGCGGTCTGATTTGGTTTTGGAGACGGGCTAGTCCATTCATCCTGCAGAATCCTTGGAGGATTCCTTCCAAGACCTACATCTCACATCGGAAGGTTCAAATCTCAAAGAAGATGGTATAACATTTGCATATCTACCCCTCCACATCCTCCTGTATGTTTAAATAATCTCCAGCTTACTTTTGATGATACCTAAAATAAATGCTGTATCAGTAACTTTTGGTTGTGTTGACGGGAATCAAAAAGCGCATCCATCTTTGGTACAGATGCAATTTTGTTTTCAAATATTTTGAGTTCATAACTGGTTGCATCTGTGGATGTGGAACTCAAGGGTTTGGAGTGCCAATTACACTGCCATAAACTTGTAAGAAAACAGGAGTTAACTTACCTGCCCTACTTCCTCACTGGACAACTGCGTGAAAAAAATTGAACAGGGCTCCTGTGAGTCCAAGTTCTCCACCCAGCGTGGCCCTTGCCTCTGTGCTCAGCAGAGAGATTTTGGCCGTGTTGAAAAACTGCAAAAGCCACAGGTCCCTTTCCCAGGCAACTCTCAGACACTCTGACAACTTTGTAAAGAATAAAGAGAAATATATACATGATGGGGCAGCTAATTTAGAAAAACCTTCCAAGAAAATAAGTGAAGGTCTGTGGTCAGCCAGAACAGACAGGGACAGATATCTTAAGCTGTCTTTACCACATCCAACTGTAGAGACCACGAAAGTCTAGTCTCTCCTGAAATTGTGTGTAGAGTGTTTGTATAGAAACCAGATGGTCATTATTAATCCACTATGCCCGCCATAAGGGGAAGCTACAAAACCACGCAATGATATGTGTTGTATCTTAAGTATTGAAAAAAATAATGAGATAATGTTAGCTGACTGGGTGAAAAATTAAGGAGTAGAGGCAAAAGCTGGACATTGGCTTAAGGAATACTAATGCGTATGAGTTAGCTGGCGATGATTGGAGAGGAAGGCATTCCTGCTTCCTCTCACCCATGGATTCGTCCCTCTTCCGTGATGGTCACAGACCACCGGGTCTCTGCAAATTCACATTGTCGCAGGGAGGAAGCCGGAAGTAGTTGGAGCGGCGGAGTCGCCGTGGGGGCAGACCAGCCATCTGACGGCAAAGCTCATCTAGAAGGGAAGTGGAACACAACGGGAAGAGAGTGAGGGGACAGAGCCAGGGCCCTGAGGGAGGGGGAGACTCCATCCCGAGACAGCGCAAAGGAGGAAGAGAAAAAGCTCTCTGTGCAAAGCTCAGCTCCCCCACCTCTCAGGGACTTCTCACTTACTAGAAAGTTTCTTAACTGTTGTGAACTTCATTATCCCTAACCAGGGTATTTGTGAGTATTAAAATGAAATCATGTATGCAAAGGGACTAGAACAGGTGGTCAGTAAATGGTAGCTTCCTATAGGTACCTAGCTCCCGATTCTTCTAATCATGGATCTAGAAAAATGAAGTCCAGTCATTCAGGACATATTGAGGTGTTTGCTACAGGCAAACAGCTAACTTTAGCAAGTCCCCTGGGTCACTCTGCAAGAGCCTAGAGTCCCAAACACTCATCCTAAATCTCAAGGTGTTTCCCTTGCAGGTGGCTTGCACAAGACAATGGGGACAAGCAGCAAGTTTCCTTCTGTGAAGTTGACTTCAGCTCTTACTCACGGGCTTGGTGCAAAGCAGGCTGCTGAGTCATAAAGGCCAGTGTCTGTGGTGTTGTCACCAACCACAGCCATCATCTGGGGCTGCCCAGGGGGAAGGTGAGAAGCATGGCTTCTTCCCACCACGCACAGACTACAACCACACATTCTGGACCCTTGTAAGAATTCTCTTCACAACTTTCTTCTACCTCTGAAATTCACAGTAAGCATTGTAAATGGTTCCTAGGGTCGGTGACTGGCTTACAGCATAGTTGATTTCTATCATTTTTATTATTATGAATTTTAAAGGCAGTGAGAGAGACACAGAGAGATAAACATCATCCATCTGCTGGATTGCTCCCCAAATGCTTGCAGCAGTTGATGCTGAGCCAGGCTGAAGCCAGGAGCCCCAAAATCCAAAGATGGTCTCCCATATGGGCGGACAGGGACCCATCCGTCTGAGCTGTCACCTGTAGCTTCCCAAGGTGTGCATTGGCAGGAAGCTGAAATCAGAAGCAGAGCTCCACTCCAACGTGGGTCACAAGCATCCCAGCCAACATCTTAACTGCTGCCCCAAAACACCTGCCCCACTGCAGCTGATTTCTGAATGTCTTGTCATTTGTTTTAATTCACAGGCCTTATCCAAACCTTACTGCCCCCAAATTAGTGTGTCCATGTGTGTGAGTGTCTCAGAGTTACTAGCATTCTGTTGTCTCTGATGGACTTTTCCTTAGAACCCCAGTGGGTGATCTTCAAACTGCTTCATGGGGTGAACATTGTGGAGCAGCGAGTTAATCCACAGCTTGGAAGACCCACATTCTGTACTGGAGTGCAGTTCAAGTCACAGCTATTCCGCTTCTGATCCGGCTCCCTGCTAAGGTCCTGGAAGCCACAGATGATGGCTCAAGTGCCTGAGTTCCTGTCACTCAGCTGAGAGACACAGCTCGTGGCTTTGGCTGAGCCCCGGCTAGTGCCGCCATGTGGAGGTAAAACAGCAGATGAAACATTCTCGTTTTCTCACTTTAGGAGCGTGCACTTGTCAAGGCATCCAGGAATGCTTCACTCAGGACTGGATTAGTACAGCAAGAACACTACGTGGATTGCATTTAGGATGCACCTGCAGGAGCTCCAGCCTCTTCTAAAACAGACCTTGCGTTCATGAGCATCGCACCCATACATCTCTCTCCCACCCCCTTAAATTCGAACAAAACCCTGTTACAGAAACAATAACCGTATATTTTCTTTAAACAGCGACCAAGGTCTATTTGGTTATGACACCAGGCAAAACCCACATTTCACATCAGAATGCCTGGGTTTGCTGCCTCGCCGCCTCCTGCTTTTCCTTTTTTTGATTTTATTTTTCAGGATACAGTTCCTTAAGCTCAGGGATCCCCTTTGCCTTCGTTTGTATTTTTCAGATAACTGCGCCCACTAAAGCGCATCCTCCTACCTTTCATGGCCTCATGTTCCTTACAGACGAGACGGGAGCAGATCTCATTGTTGATGACGTACATACGCCGTAAGCTGTCCCAACGTCACAGCCGAAAAAAGAGAAAGAGAAAAGTGCCTTGAGAGGCAGGATTAGCCTAGGTGGAGGGAGCCTCTTCAACTGGTGTTTCTCCAACTCTTCCCTTTATGCTTTATCCTTTATCTGTATGTCCTTAAGTACCTCAGATTCCCCAGTGCAATACGGAGGGTGGAACAGCACTAAGTGCTCTCCTTTGCGACACTTTGCAGCCCCACCTAGAGTCACACCCACGCTTCCGCGATGTTCTACCTTCAGAGTTGGGTCTTTTTGTTGCAACCTCTTCTTCTTAGGGAATAAAGTCAACACACCATGTTTCCGTCCTAGTCCACTGCTTCCAGCCCTCACCTCCACTTACCTACTGGAGTCTATTGGCTTAGCGCCTTTGTACCGCAACCCACAATCCCTGCTCTAGCCAACGCCTCCAGAAGTAGCCGAGAAGGTCATACTGAAAGCCATTTCCCTGTGGGCTCTCGTGTACCGGCGTGAACCCAGGAACCCTGGCCGCTCTGGGATCCCATACCTGGTGAAGCACAGCTGGTGAACGCACTGCTTGATCGGGCGATGCACGGAGTACAGCCTGGTGCAAGCAAATTTCTCATCCCGGCACTCTGTCCAAGAAAACAGGGAAATCCGAAGCGGGGCAGTGTAAGCAGAGAATGATGGAACAGAACATTGTAAACTGGGACGCGTTCCTCTCTCTTCAAAAGCAGAGCAAGAGGAAGGCGTTGACAAGGAAAGTTGAGTGCTTTTGTACCTGCAAGCACAAGTAGATAAAATAATTTCTGAAGGCTCTTTTAGGGGAAAAAAATCTTGATAGCCTTATCCAGGTGGCAATGTGAAATATGAAGTGAACTTAGGAAACTCCATACTAATCAATGGGGATTCTTAGCATCACTGTTTCTTTGATGTAGGATGCCAGCACCTCAAACAGGAGCTTCACGCGTTGTGCCACCGTGCTCAGCCACAGGTCCTTGTTTCTCTGTTCAATCTCTTCTCAACCCTTGCTGCACATCAGAATCATCAGCATATTTTACATATACATGTTATAGTGAGAACCAGAGAGAGAGAAAGAGCGATAAGACAGAGAGAGAGACCCCAACTCCTGGTTCACGCCTCAAATGCCCAGAGTGATGAGCTGGAATCAGGCTGGGAGCAAAGCCAGGAGTCAGGTACTGCATCAGATGTCCCTGTGCGTCAGAGACTCTGCCACCTGAGCAGTGCACCTGCTTCCGTGACTTGCTGCCATGGTGGCTGGAAGCGGGACTCGGGAGCCAGAGCCAGGATTTGAACCCAAGTACTCTGATACGGGTACTCAAGCACCCTGATACTCTGATAGGAGAGGAGGGCAAGTTGTGGGAGAAAACACAAGTAGTGGCTTAAGTACTAAGTTAGACATCGGCCCTGGAGACACGATTCCAACCATGAAGTCCATGGTCATGTCGTCCCAGAAATCACGTGATCTGACTTGCCCAACACAGTCATCACTGAACGAGGAAACAAAATGTTTCAGGGAGATAGTTGTTTGGGGCTCATTCAGCAGAAAGAGGGGCCGGAGGCTCCAGACTCGGCCATGCAATGCTGACACGCCACATTGCGGTGAAGACTGGAGCCCTGGCTGCTCTGCTTCCAATTCAGCTCTCTGCTAACGCATCTAGGAAGGCAGTGGAGACTGGATCAAGTACACAAGCCCTTTTCACTCGTGTGGGAGACCCAGATGGAGTTCTGAGCTGCTGGCTTGGGCTTTGTCCAGCCCTAGCTGCAGTCATTTAGGGAATGAACCGAAGAATGAAAGATTTTCCTGTCTCTCTCAACTAAGTTAATGAATTTTGAAAGCAGAAAAGAATAAGCGATGGGTGTTATGATGTGGCAGGTTAAACCTCATCTTGGGATTACACACATCCTCTGACAGAGTTTAAATCTTCTAAAAAAAAAAAAAGGTCTGGCGTGATAGCCTAGTGGCTAACGTCCTCGCCTTGCACACACCGGGATCCCATATGAGCGCCGGTTCTGATCCCGGCAGCTCCACTTCCCATCCAGCTCCCTGCTTGTGGCCTGGGAAAGCAGTGGAGGATGGCACAAAGCCTTGGGACCCTGCACCCGCATGGGAGACCTGGAAGAGGCTCCTGGCTGCTGACTTGGGATTGACTGCGCTCCGGCCATTGTGGCCTCTTGGGGAGTGAATCAACAGACAGAAGATCTTCCTCTCGGTTTGTCCTCCTCTCCAATAAAAATAAATCTTTAAAAAAATAAAGAAGAACATAAGGAAGAGAGTTAAGAGCACCTGAAATATCCGTCGCGCCGAATGAAGGGATGAGGGAGACAGCAACAGGAAGAAAGAAAACAGGGAGTGGCGCAGCGAGGGCATACCTGTGCTGGTGTTTCTGTCCGCCGGTGGAGCTGGAAGGCAGAAATCGCACTCAGTTACAGTCAATTCTAGACGTCACGACCCCTGTCACCGTCCTGTCACACAGGGCTCCTGCCCTCGGGCGGGGGGAGAGAACACGTGAGGTCATCACTGTCCTAGGAGCTTGCATTGGCTGATGCGACACACGTGAAGGACGAGATTCAGGCGCTGGCGGGCACACTGGTTTCTCCTGTCTCTCTTAGGAAGTGCATTGTGTCACAAGCATCTTCAGTGTGGCTGATAAGTGAATGTATTAAGAACACAAGGCAAAGAGCCATGGGGCCAGAAGGGCTTCATTCTACAGCCAAGGAGAGAAAAGAGTGTCTGCTAGACCAGCCTGCTCATAGGTAAAAGTTGTTCTCTTGGGCCCAGCGTGGTAGCCTAGTAGCTAAACTCCTCCCCTTGCACACCCAGAATCTCATATGGGAGCCGGTTCTAATCCCAGAGGCCCCACTTCCCATCCAGCTCCCTGCTTGTGGCCTGAGAAAGCAGTTGAGGACGGCCCAAAGCCTTGAGACCCTGTGCCTGCGAGGGAGACCTGGAAGAGGCTCCTGGCTCCTGGCTTTGGATTGGCTCAACTCCAGCCAATGAGGCCGCTTGGGAAGTGAATCAGCAGACCGAAGATCTCTCTGTCTCTCCTCTTCTCTGTATATCTGACTTTCCAATAAAATAAAATAAAATAAAATAAAATAAAATAAAATAAAATAAAATAAAATAAAATAAAATAAAATAAAATAAAATAAAATAAAATAAGCCATATCCACAGCCAAGTGCAACCCAGAGGCAAGCTATACACATGCCTGCTTTGTAGAATGGGGAACTGGTTGTGGAGTCACACGACTATTGAGGCAGTGAACTGGCTGGGGGGTTACACAGGAAAACACCGCTAGGAGGATAACGGGGTTTATGACAGGTGATCTCATGGAGTCATAGTTTCAAGGCAAAGCCACAGGGGACCTTAGAGTGCGGGAAATGGAATTAAAGCAAAGAATTATTTTGGTGCCAAAAATAATGGGAGCCTATACACGCTTTTTAATAACGTGATTTTCTTTTCAAGGTCCCTTATATACATTCGATTTCAAATTTGTACCCAAGTACAGGCAGCAGTTGGCATGGCAGTTAAGGCGCCACTTGGAATGCCTGCAGCTGCATCAGAGTACCCTGTAATTGGGTCCAGCTGTGCGTTCTGCAGCTTGCTGCCAATGCATACCTGAGGAGGCAGCAGGTGACGGTTTTTACCCTAAGGACATGGGTTTTTGTTTTGTTTTTTGAAAAGCAGAGTTAGACAGAGAGGTTTTCCTCCATGGCTAAGGCTGGGCCAGACCAGCGCTAGGGGCCAGGAGCTTCCCCCAGGGTTCCCACACGGGTGGCAGGGACTCGAGCCCTTGGGTCATCCTTTGCTGCTTTTCTCAGGCCTTTTTTGGCAAGGAACTGGATCAGAAGTGGAGCAACTGGGACGCTAACTGGTGCCCAAATGGGATGCTGGCATTGTCAGTGGTTACTCTATGCCACTCAGACAGTCGCATGGTTCCTGGCTTTGCCCTGGTCTAACATTGACCATTATGGGCACTTGGGGAGTAAGCCAGCAGATGGCAGATCTGTTTCTTGTTTCTATAACCTCTCAAATCAGTCAATCACTAATTTTTGCACCAAAAATAATTAATCTTTTAATTCCATCTTCCAAGGAATTTTAAAGTACTCTCCCGTACGTTAATATGTCTATATATAGAGAGGCATATATGTATGTACCTATATGTCTAGCCTGGATTTTCCACCTAAACTCCAGATCTAGAAATCCAGCTGCCTTTCCGTGGAGGTCCTTGTGAATTTTCCAAAGATCCTTCACTTCTTCATGAACAGTATCACTGTCTGCCCAATGGACACATCGGAGAATCTTGACATCACGCCCAATCTTACTACCCCCACCTCCATTCAGCCCGCCGTCTCTAACGGGCACTGACTGGCTTTCCAAGTTCCAGGCTGCTCACAATCAAATGAATTCTCCACATGGCCCTAGGGGTTGAGCAGGAGGGGTGGAGGGATGGGAAGCAGGCGTGGCCTTTTCAAGGCACAGATATGATCAAAACCTTCCTTTTCACAAAGCTCTCTCTGGATGGCTTCCGTTTACATTTGTCCAGATTTTTCTTTTTAACCCTCAAAGTTGGTCCCTATTTTTATCACTTGGTCCACTTGCATTTGTCTTCCAGGGAGTGTCATGCTATGCTTTCCATAGCAGCTGCTTGTCATCCCCAGTGCTGAACAAATCCATCAGCTCTTGATGCCTCTTTAAGCTTATTTTGATTGATCCATTTGATGGAACTAAACAAATTTATCTATTTCTCTACCTTGTTTGTTGGACTCCCTCTCCAAAAATATATATATATATATTAGAGAGGTAAGTAAGTTTTAGGGGTCAGCATCGTGGCCCAGCAGGTTGCACACTGCTTGCAATCCCAGCACTCCCTGTGAGTGCAGGTTCAAGTCCCGTCTGCTCTGCTTCTGCTCTGGGTGCGTACTGATGGCATAGCAGGGTAAGATGGCCTATGTGCTTGGGTCCTGCCACCCACATGGGAGACCCAGCTGGAGTTCCTGGATTCTGGCTTCCAGTTTTCCCAGCATAAGCCACTGCAGCTGGCGAGGGAACCAGCCAGTGGAAGATCTTTTACCGTCACCCTGTCTTTCAGCATCTTTAGAAAAATCAATCAATCAATTGAAGCTCTGCTCTGAAATCTGACTTCTGGCTAATGTGTACTCTGGGAGGCAGTGGCTTAGGCAGCTAGGTCCCTGCTGCCCCTGTAGGAGGTTTGGATTCAGACAACTTGATCCCTGAGTAAAGCCTGAGATGGCCCTGGTGGCCTGGGTCCCGGATCTGAACTCACCCAGGTCATCTGTGGAAGGTTCAATATCAGCCAGAACTGAAAAGGCACAAAACAGCAGGTGTGAGGCGGGCTTCGGATTGCAACGGGGAAAGGCAGAGGAGGAAAAGGGAGAACGGAGGTGCCAGGGCAAGACCAAGTGCATGGCCGGGTTGGTGCATTGTGTCTGAGGGTATCGGATGAATTGAAGGAATTGTCAATATTTCCTTCCCTCCACCCCGCCCCAGGAATGTGAGTTCTATTGATATTAAACTAATGTCTAGAAGCTCTTGTTACCCATGCCTTGTTTTAGCTAGAAATGCATTTTCCCCTCTCTCTTTTTGTCCCACTGTGCCTTAACACTCCCAGAGCCCTTCTCTCCATCGTGTTTGTCAGGCCGCCTTCGGAAGAACAGCAGGAAAACCCACCTGTTTCATCGGTAGCAGGGTCATTCACCAGATCTGAAAAAGGTACATGACAGGCTATGAGCAGAGAGGAGGTGACCGAGCAAGCGTCAAGGTGACCTAAGGGGAGACCGGCCAGGAAGCTGGATGAGAGCATGTGGTGCTGGGACGACCACAGGGTGTCGGAGGAGACGGCCGCCCAGGGCGCGCTGACACGGACCGCGGCCAAGGACCGTGGGACGCCTCGTGAACTCACAGCCCCCGACGACCCGCTGCCAGGCTATCTATGACCTTGTCATCTTTTCAAAGGAGCAAAGAGGGGTCACTTACTGGGGTCATCGGTGAAGGTTTCCGGAGTCACTTGAGTCGCATCATCATCATCTGAAAAAAAAATAGTAAAACTAAGTTATCAGCTCTCCCTCCCGAGGATTCCCAACAGGGGCAACGGACAGCACCAGCTCCTGGTTAAGGCTCTCACAGGGCTTTGTCCATGCTGGCTCGTAACATCTCCAGGGGCTGGCAGGATCCTGTTTAACATGCAAATTGTTGCAAAGATGCTGTGACGTCAAGAGTTACAATTTCGATTCACTTGGATGTGAACTTGCTAATGTGCTTGCTCGTAGGAAGGGTCACAGAGGGTGTGTTGGTTAGTAGAGAAGGCTTTGCATTTGATTATTAGAAAATAAAACAGGGGCCCGGTGCGGTGGCCTAGCAGCTAAGGTCCTGGCCTTGAATACGTCGGGATCCCATATGGGCGCCGGTTCTAATCCCAGCGGTCCTGCTTCTCAGCCAGCTCCCTGCTTGTGGCCTGGGTAAGCAGTTAAGGACGGCCCAAAGCCTTGAGACCCTGCACCCGTGTGGGAGACCTGGAAGAAATTCCTGGAAGAGGTTCCTGGTTCCTGGACTCGGATCGGTGTAGGACCGACCATTGCGGTCGCTTGGGAAATGAACCATCGGATGGAAGTCTTTCTCTCTGTCTCTCCTCCTCTCTGTATATCTGACTTTCCAATAAAAAATAAAATAAATCTTAAAAAGAAAATAAAATAAATCAGAGGAGAAGGAATAAAAATGGTCCAAGTCTTAAAGAGGTAAGCCATTTGGATAAGGCTTTTGTTTTAAAGATTTGTTTATTTCAGAGGTATAGTTACAGAGAGAGAGGGAGAAATCTCCCATTTGTTAGTTCATTCCAGAAATGGCCACCACAGCCAGGGCTGGGCCAGGCTGGGACCAGGAGCCCAGTGCTCCTTCCGGGCTCCTTACCTAGGTGGCAAGGGTTCAAGCACATGCCAGGTACATTGATGTTGCCAGCCGCATCTGTATGCACTGGCCACATGCCGTACCCAAAATGGCGCCGGCCAGAGAAGCCACACCTTCGTGCCTGGTGGAGAGTCACGTAGCTTTCGCAGTACTGCGCAGGCGCCTAGCGCATGCGCAGTGAGCTGCGGCGTGGCCGGCACGTGAACACTGGGGACTGACGAATCCGGTCACCCAGGACCCTGCGTGATCATGACGCAGACCTATCATCGGCGGAGGCGGGGCCAGTCAGCACATAAGAGCAGACAGCCTGCCGGGGTCGCCCCCCCTTCCTCCTCATCTTGGTGCGCACAATAAATTTTACCGCAGAGGACTTCACTCGCGTCTGCGTCTTATTGCTGGGCGGTAAGACACGTGGGCGCGACACATTAGCAGGGAGCTGGGTTGGCGGTGGACCAGTCAGAACTCACACCATATCCGCATGCGATGCCAGAGAGATGGACAGCTGTACGACCAGTTATGCTACAATGTGAGATTCCCTACTGGGATAAAGTTTTTTTAAACTACCTGAAATTATAAACACCAGTACATTTTAAGGCAGATTATCTCTGCTTTAAAAAGAAAAATAACAAAGCAGTGATAACATTTGCTCTAATTTTTTAGAAAAAAATATTTATTTATTTTTCTTGGAAAGTCAGATATACAGAAGGAGAAACAGAGAGGAAGGTCTTCCATCCATTGATTCACTTCCCAAGTGACCGCAATAGCCAGAGCTGTGCCAATTTGAGGCCAGGAGCCCGGAGCTGCTTCTAGGTCTCCCATGAGGGTTCAGGGTCCCGAGGCTTTGGACTATCCTCCACTGCTTTCCCAGGCCCCAAGCAGGGAGCTGGATGGGACGTGGGGCTGCTGGGTTGTGTACCGGTGCCCATATAGGATCCTGACGCGTTCAAGGCAAGCACTTTAGCCGCTAAGCTACCGCACTGGGCCCTGCTCTGATTTTTAAAACTTACTTGTGAGTGTATTTCCGTTTGTATATGTTTAAGGTGCAACGTGGTTTCTCCCAGTGTCCTGTTTTAATGCTTTGTGACAGAATGCCAACCAAGAATATCATTGTAAATATTCAGACATACAAAGGAAGAGCCAGATCTTTTGTTTTAGAGAACTATTTAACACAACTCCAATCCCACAAGTGGAACACGATGTTTTTTACACGTGTATAAAATGACACAATCAAGCAAATTAACATATTTAAACCTAACGTTACTGTCTTATAAACAGGGATTATGTGTTTGTCTTTAGTTATCTGAAAGAGGACAGAGACAAATATTCTGTTAAGTGGCTCACTTTCTGCCTGGCACAGCTTGAAGCATCTAGTGTCGGGCTGATCTGAAGTGAGAAGCCAAAAGTTTCACCTGGGTTTCCCATGTGGATGGAGTCCAAGCTCTTGGGCTACCTTCTACTGGTTGACCAGGAGAGCTGGGCCTCGAACAAGCACCCCTCTGGGATGCTGGCTCCACAGGCAGTGGAGTTAAGCTCTATGACGCAGTGCTTTTGCTAATAAACCTATTTTCTTAGCAAATAACATTTCAATATTTATTTAGCAAATGGTCCATCTCCAGGTGTGCGGCAGCGTGGCTTATCGTCATAATCTATCCTGGCCACTAGGGGTCAGCAAACTCACAGGGTTTGCATTGCCTTCATTACACTTCAGCTTTAAATTCAACTTTTAAGCATTATTTTTAAAAGTGTATTAGAGGGGCCCGCGCGGTGGCGCAGTGGTTAAAGGTCCTCGCCTTGCACGCCCGGGATCCCATATGGGCGCCGGTTCTATCCCGGCAGCCCCGCTTCCCTTCCGGAAGAGGCTCCTGGCTTCGGACCGGCATAGCATCGGCCGTTGCGCTCACTTGGGGAGTGAACCATCGGACGGAAGATCTTCCTCTCTGTATATCTGACTTTCTAATAAAAATAAAAATAAACTTTCAAAAAAAAATCATTTCAAAAAATAAAAACCAAAGAAAGAGAAAAGATTCCAGCTGTGACCCATTGGTTGATTACACCACCCACTGCTGGGTGGGAGACCACAGTGCTCTCTCCCTGAGTCTCACGGGAGCGACGGTTTTGCACACGCCTCAAGCAGGGTGGAGTGCTTTAGTCAGGCTGGGGGAGCCAGAAGGTTTGGGCGCTGTCCAGATGCACCGCAGTCACTCAGCGTTTTAGTTTCCCGTAAGGACCTCTGGGCGTTGCTGAGCAAGAGGAGCAACATCTGGAGGCAGGTGCAAAAGCAGCAGCCGGGCACGGAGGAGGACTTGTGGGAAGGGTTCTCATTAGTGTGGATGAAAGTCCAGGAGGTTTTACTGTGTTTCCTAACGTGGTAACTCTGCTGCCCACTCTAGGACCGGCTGTTAACCGCGCTCTCCCGCATCAGCCCCGCTCAGCCCAAGCTCAGCCCAGCTCAGCCCAGCTCAGCCCAGCTCAGCCCAGCTCAGCCCAGCTCAGCCCAGCTCAGCCCAGCTCCAGGGATGTGCCTACCTCCTCGCTGGCCGTCAGCCCCTAGCGGCGTCCAGTCTGTAGTGAAGGAAGCAGAAAAGAGATGTGAGTATTCCAGCTCCATACCTCAGAACCCTCGCGTGAGGCCAGCTAGAAAACCGCACAAGGGTCGGGTTTTCTCTGCGCGTTTCATTCCTGGAGAGCTCAGCTCAGAACTGCTCAGTTCCTCGGCAGGAATAGAAACAGTCACGGAGCACACGTCCTGGAGGATGAAGACCCTGACTCAGGCTAAGTCTCAGTTCCCAGCAAGCACGGGGTGCTGCTCCACTGGCGGGTCCGGTAGCATTGTTAGTGGGTTTAGTCCTGCTAACCCACAGGCTAGGGTGCTGAACCAGGCACAAGAATTAGTCTCTTAGCCTGCACTCTGGCAGAGAAATCATCAGGTACAGTCATGTTCAAGTCCAGGGCTCCATTGCTGGGGCCAATATTCACATTAGATTCTATGAATTCTGTGAAGATTGCTTCTCTGTGGTGACCAGAGGTCATCTGAACACAGCGGTGTGCCATCGCTCCTCCCGCTCCACTCCTTGCTCCGTTCCGCCTTCTAACACATCCCTACACACACACACACACACACACACACACGGACGTGCAGCTCAGGAGCTTGGTGTCCAAGGGAGAAAAGAATCAAAGAAAGGACTCACCAGAGGGGATGATGAGAGCGGCGACCAGCAGGAGCACCTTAGGTCCCAAGAGCAGCATGTCTGCCGGGGACAGAGGGAGAGCAGAGTGGACACCAGAGGTCAGCATCCTCACCTCCAGCCTCAGGGTCCCCCGTCTTTCATTTTCGGCAACTTTCTGAGTTTCCCCTTATAACTCAAATTCTCTCTCTCTTTTTCATCTTTCTCTTGAAGTTTACTGCTTCCCCAAATCTAGTCTTACTCACTTATTCTCAGTCTTATTATTCCACCCTACCAAGCCAGAGGGAATGAGCCATCCTCAGCCTGGACCTCTTGCCCTGAGTGTGTCATCTTCCTACCTTGCCAGGTCCAGGTCTCAACTATGTCATCTTGGCGTCTCCACGTATTTAAACTGCGCACGTAACACGGTGAGAGGTGTGGGTGAAAGGGTTCATCCTATTCAATTCTAAGTTCAGTGACATTCCCGGGGCCCCTCTACGGTTCTTCAGTGCGTACACACACACACACACACACACACACACACACAGATGCGTGCACACTTAATCCTGTCTGACCAGTTTTCTGCAATCCAGTAACTCACCGTGGTGCTCTGCTTTTTCGGCTCCTCTCTGTTCAATGTGTCTCTCTCCTTCTCGCCCTGTTCCACGCTGGCTGGAGAGAAAGAGCAACTAAGCCACTCCCTGGAATGGACTCTGGATTCAGCCTCTTTCGAAACAATGAGATGAGGAAGAGCAAGAGAGAGAGAGGGAAAGCCAGGCGGGAAGTGTAGGATGCAGTGTTCAGCTAAGGCTGGAATGAGAAGGGAGGTGGGGACTTGCATCATTCACACCCTCATTCCAGAGGTTATGACCACACTGGTGAGAGACGCTGCTGCTCCCTAGAAGGGTTGGCCCAAGTTCACGGCTGTCGCTCCACCATCAGCCTATTTTCTGCTCAGTCGGTCTCCACACGTTTTGTTTTTTTTTTCTCTTGCCTTGGGTTTGCTCGTAAGTAAATGGTCTTGTCTCATGCATGGGGTATTTTGCCATACGTTATCAAACTTTCCCCCTCTTCCATTCAGCTGACCTTTGAATCGCTCTTGCAGCTCCCATTCCCACCTTCTTCCTTTTCAACTACTGATTTCAACACCAACAAATTTCTTTGTCTCTCCACATTTATTTTTCTTCTTTGCATCTCTTTTGACCTGCATATTTAGATTCTTTTTTTTTTCCTCCTTCTTCTTCATGGAATATTGTACTTATTCAAGCAAACACAGACAACAATTTAGTTTTGTCCAAGAGAAAGGCTGGATGTTTTTGGATTATAAAATGTTGATGTATTCATTTTTTAAAAAAGATTTATTTTTACTATTTTTCATTGGAAAGGCGGATATACAGAGAGGAAAGACAGAGAGGAAGATCTTTCGTCCGATGATTCACTCCCCAAGTGAGCGCAATGGTCGATGCTATGCCGATCCGAAGCCAGGAGCCTCTTCCGGGTCTCCCACGCGGGTGCAGGGTCCCAAAGCCTTGGACTGTCCTCCACTGCTTTCCCAGGCCACAAGCAGGGAGCTGGAAGGGAAGCGGGGCTGCCAGGATTAGAACCGGCGCCCATATGGGATCCCGGGCATGCAAGGCAAGGACCTTAACCACTTGCACCACCGCGCTGGGCCCCTAAAATTCTTTCAAGTAAATAAATAATAATGAATAATTTAGTCTTTTTTTTTTTAAAGTTGAGTTATACCTGCTGCTGCTGTTGTGGAAGCCTGACCTTCCTGACGCCATCTGCTTCCCTTATTATCCCCAGTTAATAAAGCTTTCTTATGAGCAACTAAAACAAAGCAACAACAAGTTGAATTAAAGAAATCCAAGACTGAGCAATGGCTAACTTTTTACACAATAAATGTGTACAAGGTTCAAATTGTCTGTTAGGTCCTTTCGTCTACATTAGATCGAAGGAATTGAATTAGAGAACGTATGGATAGGCAGAGAGCAGATTATATTAATAAATTATGGGCCTGGCTTAATGACTCAGTGGCTAAATCCTCATCTTGCAACTACCAGAATTCTACATGGGTGCCAGTTCGTGTCCTGGCTGCTCCACTTTCCATCCATCTCCCAGCTGGTGACCTGGGAAAGAACAGCCTAAAGCTTTGGAACCCTGCACCTGTGTGGGAGATCCAGAAGCAGCTCCTAGTTCCTGGCTTCAGATCAGCTCAGCTCTTGCCATTGTGGCCATTTAGGGAGTGAGCCAGTTGATGAAAGATGTGTGTGTGTGTGTGTGTGTGTGTGTGTGTGTGTGTGTGTGTGTATGTGTGTTTGTCTTCTTTCTGTAAATCTGCCTTTCCAATGAAAATAAAAATAAAATTTTAAAAATCATACACTAGAAGAAATAAAATGTTAATGAGGATGGGATTGGAATTTTGGAACAGATGATGGGGTGGGATGTACGGTTTAAGCTGCTGCTTGGGAAAGCCACATGCCAGATGGGCATGCTAAGATCATGTCCCATCTCTACTTTTCCTAATGCACCTGGGAGGCCAAGGATTATGGCCCAAGTGCTTGCCGTACACATGGGACATCCTATGGAGTCCTGGGCCTCTGGCTTTAGCTTGATACAGCACTGGTAATGTGGGGACTGGAAGAATAAACCAGCAGATAGAAGATTCCTCTCTTTCTCTTCTGCCTTCCAAATATATAAATGCATCTGTAAAAAAAGAAGAGAAGGAAGGGAAGAAAAGAGAAAAGGAAAGAAAGAAAGAAAGAAAGAAAGAGAGAAAGAAAGAAAGAAAGAAAGAGAGAAAGAAAGAAAGAAAGAAAGAGAGAAAGAAAGAAAAGGAATGAATGTCAGAAGGAAAGGGCCTAATTAAGAGGAGGGGGCAGCAAGGGATGAAGTCAAATAGAAGCAAATGGCATCCACAGAGGCACCTCTGGAGGCATTGAGGTGGTTCCGTTTCCAAGGCACAAGAGCTCCCCGCTTCCAGAACCAAAGCGAGGAGCAGAGCCAGCTCTTCCTTAGCCCACAACTTGCCCTTGTCCTATCTTCTCCTTAGTGAGGGGATAGAGGCTAGAATACAGATGTGACTCTGGTCTGGGCAGGGAGAGGCGGGGGTGGGGGGGCTGGAGCAGAAGGCAGATGCAAAGCAGAGCTATGGCAGGAGAGGGAACAGAGAGCCTGGAGCAACACTCATGTTTTCCATGAAGCCCAGACAGATGGAGAGACTGAACTCGGGCCAGTCATTTGGCAGGGACAGCGATGACCTCAACGTGCTGGCCTAGTTTGAGATGATAGCTTAGCAAAGCCTCCCCAGGCGGTAGGAGGTGGCACTCTCTAGGGGCCGCAGGAGGGAGCCTGAAGCTGGGGTAGTGAAAATAGGAACAGAATGTTCAGGGCAAGGTGGAAGGGAGTCAAAGATGGAAGAAGTGCGGAAGCCGGCAGAAGAGCAGTGACAATCACAGGGCAGTAAGCTTTGTGGATTGTCAAGGAGGCAACTTCAGATATCCGCATTGTCTCTGGATAGACTGCCTAGTCCCGGCCTTACAGGTGTGTCCATCTCTCCTACTAGACCCACAGCTTCTACTGCAGATACCACCAGATCATGGGTCAGGCCAAGGCACATCCAAACAAGATGCCTTGCGGCGTGGTTATTAGACAGGAAGTGCTGGAGTTACACTACAGGCCATGCATCCAGCATTATCCAATCCAGATGTCAGCAGGGACAGAACAAAGTTCTTGGCTGGTGAACATGAGAACCGAGGCTGGGGCAGTGCAGACCCGGCTAGGATATGATACTCATCGGCACACATGTGGGTCATGTCCAGGGGTGGGCCAGGTTGGGCCAGTTTTCAACAGTTACTGGCAGGTATGAAAATCAGCACAGGGTACAAGGACAAGCCAGGATGGGATGTAACACCAGCCAATTTATATTAGGGCCAGGACTGGGGGATGGCTGGGCTGGACCTGGTTATAGCAGCGACCAGCATGAGCTAGGAGTGGGCCAGGCCTGGTGGAACCAGGCTGTAGAACCTATCAGCAAATGCAAAAGTGAGACAGGCCATGCCAGATTGGGCAGCAACATTCACCAGCATACGCAAGACCCCAGGCTGGGAGTAAGCCTGTTGAAGGAGTTGTGGAGGAGCCCTCTTGTACCCCTGTTCTCCCGGGGATGGACATTGGAGCTGAGACTGGCGGAAGTTCAGCTGGGTAGGGCAGCAGAAATCACCAGCCTGCATGCAAGGTGGGTTTGGGGGACAGGCAGGCAAAGCCAGGCCACTGCATCCACTGGCTTATGCAAGTGCCAGGATAAGTGCCAACTGGCCGAGTCTTGCCTGCAGCATCTGCTGGCTAGTGCCAGGATAGGGTACAAGTCATGTCAGACTGGACTACGTGGCCTGGAAACTGCAAGATCCAGAGCGGGAGTAAGTCTAGCAGGGAAACTGTGGGTACTCCCCTGCTGGGTCATAGCTCCTACGAGTGTGTGAGAGCCAGCGCAGGGGGTGGGCCAGCCCTGTTGGCACCTGTGGACTGGGTGTGGGGTGGGATTGGCAGAGCTAAACTGCAACTCCCATAGGTGTCGCTGTCCCGCAGCGATGGACTTGGTGCACGGAGCCAAAGGTCGAAGCTGAAGTTTTTGTTTTGTTTTTTGTTTTTAGAGCCTGAAACTTCTTCTTCTTCTTTTTTTTTCTTAAGATTTATTTATGTTTTATTACAAAGTCAGATATACAGAGAGGAGAAGAGACAGAGGGCAAGATCTTCCGTCCGATGATTCTCTCCCCAACTGAGCAGCCGGTGCTGTGCCGATCTGCAGCCGGGAACCAGGAACCTCCTCCGGGTCTCCCTCACAGGTGCAGGGTCCCAAAGCTTTGAGCTGTCCTTCACTGCTTTCCCAGGCCACAAGCAGGGAGCTGGATGGGAAGTGGAGCCACCGGGACCAGAACCGGTATCCATATGTGATCTGGCAGGTTCAAGAAGAGGACTTTTGCCACTAGGCCATGCTGCCCCTCCGGGCCCAAAGTGGAAGTTTATTAGTTTATTTATACACTGAGGGTCATATAGGCAAAGGGAGGAGGTATTGAGCTTATCAACACAACCCTTCAACTGTTTCTATGCTTTTGTTTGGAACTCCTTTTGTCTTGTATATTCCACCAAATGTTCTCATATACGTGCTGTCCACTCAACTGTTCTCATACAAATGACATCCAATCAGGTATACAAAAGGTGGCCATTTGGTTGTTCTCATGCAAATACTATTCGATCAACTGTAATCCTGTGCTCGCTGGCCTTCTAGGGTGGCAATGTCCTCCTACACATAGGTGTGTAGGAGATCCTGATTGGGATGTGGCATGGACCAGACTAGTCCATTGCACATACTGGCACACGCAGGAACTGGGACTGGGAGCAGGCTGGGTGGGGTTTATTGGGGATCGCCCAAGCTAGGCTATATTGTCCACTGGTGTGCACAAGGGCCAGATCTGTGACAGGCTGGGTTGAGCTGGGCTGCCACACCCATCAGTTTGCACAAGATGTAAGGCTGAGGATGGAACTGACCAGGCAACTACACTCACCAGTGTGTGCCTAGGCTGGTGCGGGTAACAGACTGAAGCAGACCATGTACTAGCTGGCACATGCATGAGTCAGGTCTGGGGTCACCCCACGTGAGGCTTCTTGGGGAACTCTCCAACTGGGCCACTGGACTCAAACTCCAACCACAGGTTACAGGGAGAATCATAGAATTAGTGA